TCTCTCTCTCTCTCTCTCTCTCTCTCTCTCTCTCAGTTATACACACCTCTCCCCGCCTCCTCTTTATTGAGGTACTACTATATTCTCCAGGAACCCCTTTTTACAAATAACAACCCTCTTTTCTTCCCAACCTTTTCTCCTTCAGAAATGGAATTCTTCCTGTAGCTTAATACCTTAACATCTCTTTGCCTTTGAGGATCCGTCCCCATTGTGTAGGATCCTATCTTTTATCTCAGATCCAAGGCATTTCTCACCCTCTCAACCTTTCTTCTGTGATCTCTGCAATTCCTGCCCCCCCCCATTAATTTATCCCACCTACTTAATCTTTCTTTTTAAAGATTTTTATTTTTTAAGTCATCTCTATACCCAGCATGGAGCTGGAACTCACAACCCCCAGATCAAGAGTCACATGCTCCAATGACTGAACCAGCCAGGTGCCCCTCCATCTATCTCCTTAACCTTGACTTTTGAATTCTTTTCTTACTTACCCCTCACCCTGAAATTTCCAGTGCAGCTTCAGAATTGCTGGGGGAATTAGGTAGTGCCTTCACAAGTCACTTAAAATTGTGCTTTTAAATCTGGAACCATACCATTGAGCCCATACCAGCCTCCTGTGACTTAGTACCTCACTTTGGTGTCTTTTTAAGTACGGAGCCTCACAACTCTGGCCTCTCTGTCTGTCTGGCTCTGTTTTCCTGGCCCTTTCCCAGAAACTGAGGATAAATCCCAGGCTTTGGCTCTCTCAATGTTAAATTCTGTGGAAATGAGCCAGGCAGAAACCCTATTTCCATTAGAAATCTTCATCTTACAGATGCCTAATTTCTAGGGTTTCTGAGAAAGGGACTGTGAGGATTTTCTTTGTTGTTTTTGTTTAATCAATACAGAATTTCCTGAGTTTGAGCTCCAGATTTATAGTGTAACAAGTAACACAATATAGTGAAGGGTGTGGGATACAGAATTTAGGTCTGGAGTTTCTGAGACATCACTTTTTTCTGCTTGGTTAAATCCTGCCTCAGCTGAAAGTGACTATATCTCTAACCTTCTAGTTGAACAATAATGCAAAGAAAGGTTGCAGGGCTTTCTTTGTAGACTGTAATGCCTTTTTTCCACTTCCCTATGAAAGTGTAGTGAAAAGAGCTTACGCGGGTTTCAGAGGCAGACAAGTGTGGGTTAAATCCCAAACTAAATCTCTGTCACTTGCCAGTTATGTTTTGGGGGAAGTGACTTAACCTCACCAAGCTGCAGTTTCCTCAAGGGTTATTAGGGGGTTAAATGAGATATTGCACACCTGACACATGATGGGTACCTTAAAATGATGAATATTACCTCAAATTTATTGGTTCATATATCCTTGAAAGAACACGTCTCATTTTCTCCCATTCTTAGATTCTGTCAGTGTAGATCCAAAGATTCCTATGAAATCAGATTTTTAGATCCATTTTGCTCTATGTTGCCTAGTGATACGTTTACCATCAGTTTCCTTTGGTTCTTCAACATTTTGAACTCCTACCCTGGGGCTGGCACTCTGCTAGGTGCTGGGAATGTAAATGCATGTGCTTCTGAAATTCATCATGATGGGATATAGTTGTTTGTCTAGTTTAATTCTGAGATTTAACAGGGCCTCGTGATGGAACTGCCATCAGCTATTGTCCTGCTGCTGCTTCCAGTCTATTTGAGACCAAGGGAAGGTCTTTGCCTCTGGGCATAAGGGGCAATCACCCTAAAATGAACCCTTCCTCTTGGAAACCTACAGGCATTTATTAGAATTGTAGAGGAGTGTGCCCTCTTTCTTGTTGGTGTTACTTGGAAAGCCTCTGGTTTGGCATCTAAACTGAGAGTACTGTAAAAACTTTTTCATTTCCTTAGACAGGATGAAGAAGCAAGGGGATTTTACTGACAAAGAGCAATCAGTCAGGCTTCAGACTCCTTCTTCCAACCTCCCTACCTCCCACCACACTCCTCATTATTCCCGAGTTTCTCATTTCCAGTCTGGGTGTCCAGCCAGTACTTTGGGAGAGTTTGGCAGATAATTCAGCTTCAGGCAAGCCAACTCTCTGC